TTGTTGTGTCGGTTTTATTGGTTGCAGTGACAGCATAAAGAACGGCATTATTGCGCTTCGGCTCGATGGATTCACTGTATTTCGGATTAGAGGGGATGAGGCGAGGCGGGGGCGGGAGGCTTTGACGGCGACCGTGGGGTTGGGAAGGGGTGGGGGGGGGGTCTCTCTGGCTCTCTCCCGCACCCCCCGGCAGCCAGCCTGCCAGCCTGCGAGCCACGGAGACGGCCCGCGCGGCCCGCACGGCCACTCCTCTCGGCCGGCAACTTTTTGTGCGGCCCTGCGCGACCTCGGCTGATAGTGTGTGCGACGCGCGATGCGGCGCGATGCGCCCCGGCGAGCGATGGGCCGCAGTAATTGCATGGGTACACTCTCAATCGAAGAAAAAAATGCATATATGGTGGCCAATGAAGCACGCCAAAAAAATGGTACGTCATAAATTGAGTGGCCGCGACCGCCACGTCAAGTTGGGGGTATGCGCAAACGGACAGGGCCTAGAACGTGAAGGAAAAGATGACCACTCTATATGTTTATGTTCAATGTTGTACGGGTGTTGCCATGATTTTAAACCTGAGTAACGTTTTACTTCAAATTGTGCTCAGATTCGCATAGATTTATGCATTTTACGCATTGTAGTTCACGTATGTACGAAATAGTGCTAGTTGCACGTACAAAATTCTTCATGAAGGTTTTGTGTTTTTTGCGGTGGAGGTCGGCGACGGTCCTGCTCCTGCCGGCCTCGGCGGCTACCTGGACCGGCCGGGTAAAGTAGCGGCGAGACTCCTTGGCGGCCGCGGCCTTCGAGTCCTCCGAGTCCTCCGGGGACCGTCGTACACCTTTATCTGGTTCGGCGTGAAAAATTGCCGTTACAAGAAGCCAAACTCGCATTTATCACCAGCCTGGGGTATTGACAGGCATCGACAATGGTTAGGCAAGTTTTGGCAAAACCGTGTCCGCAGCCGCGGCGCCACGCGGCACCTGGGGCGGGCATGGGCGTGGGGGTGGGGGGAGCTGAGGGGCGGGCGGGGGCGGGGGCGGGGGCGGGGGCGGAAAGCAGGCAAGCAGCAGGCGGCCGGCCAACAACAATAACTGGGGTAACTTTGGCCCTCGCGAGTAACTTTTGCTACCCCTCTAAAACACAATACGGGGGGCATTTGGGCATTTCTCTGTTTCTCTGCGCCGCCGTGCCGCCAGCCGGCACCGCCAGCCAGCACTGCCTCCCCCGCCGAGACAACGCCCCGAGAACCCGTTTCAAACTGGCCTTCAAACATTTTAGGCAGCCACTGCAGCCAATCCAGGGCGGGAAATCGTACTCCCTCGACGGGTGGGTGGTCATTGGACTTTGGCTAGCCTTTGTTACGGAGTGCGATTTTACTCCTTATTTTGGGAGCAGTATTGCCGTAAAATTGGTCAAAACTGCAATAAATGCATAAATCGTGGTTTGGACTGGCTTGAAGCAGTCGCTGGGCCCAAATATAGGTCGGTCTAGATTCTGCGATTTTCTATCGGACTAATGATAGATAGGTCCAGTGATCCTCTTCCTACAACTGTTACCAAAATAATTTAAATTTATTGAAGAGCTCGCCTGGCTTTGGCACCGTGCAACCCTGTTGAGGCATGGCGTCATGTGGCGTGGCGCGGCGCGTTCAGAGCGGTTGAGGAGAGAGAGCAAGGTATGCAGTGTTCGCCGTCTCGCCCTTCCCATTTCCCTGCCGCGACGCCGCGACGCCACCCTGATGGATGTAGTGTTTACGGTCATAAATATCGCAGGCTGCTGCGGGCGGGCGGGGCGGGGCGGGGGGGCGGGGCGGGGGGGGCGGGGGGCGGGGCGGGGGGGCGGGGCGGGGCGGGGAGGCCCAAGGTCCAAGGCCGGCGATGAGTAACGCGCCTTCGCCGAGAATCTGGATGCGCTCTGTGACGCTGCAAGGCGGGGCGGCAGCACGGTCTGTACTCTCCCGACTCCTCCGCCTCCATCCCGACTCTCCGGCCAGCTGCTTTAATTAATCCGCACCCCGCGTGTTGTTTCCGGGGCACGCACGCACACACACACACTCACACACAATATCTCTCTCCCCCTTTCCACACACACACACACACACACACACACACACACACCACACACACACACACACACTCCCCGCTGACTGGCTCTGACTGGCGTCCAATAAATACAAGCAATGGCAGCGGACCGCCCTCATCCACGAATCAGTTTTATGCGACCTGCCGCGCCAGTGGTGGCAAATGGTCGGGCTGGAGGCGGGGTGGGGGTGGCGTGGCGTGTCGCGGCGCCCCTTGCGACGCCCCGACGCCGCGATGCCCATATCGCGACGCCGCCGCGCCAGCATGGCCAGCGCACTGGAGCCTCGGCTGGAGCCGTTGGAGCGCGGCCAGCACGGCGGCCAGCACGGCGGGCGTCATCGCGTCATCTCGTCGTGAGAACGACTCGGCGGCGCGAAGCGAGAATCGAGGAACGCGCCGAGTGTTGCCAGTGTTGCACCGCAGAATAGGCCGGGCCGGGCCTCGGCCGGGCGAGGGGAGGAGGCATCGCCGGACATCGCAATGGGCGGCGGTGGGGAAACAACCCCCTAGTCCCCGCGCAACAAAGTTCCGGCTGGCCGTGCCACCGCCACCACCGCGTCGCCCGTCGCCCGCCACTTCGCCCCGCGGGTGTCCGAGCCGTGCTCCGTTGGCAGTGCTTTGGTCCTGCCGGCTCTGCACTGCTCTGCACCCGGGGCCGCGAAGGCTCCGCTCGAGGACCAGGCGGAAGAGTGCCAGGTACGAGAGCGCCGGGCGTGCGGGAGAGGCCGCCGCCTCGGCCGCCGCAGAGCCAAATTGAGACGGAGGGTGATGAGGAAAAAGTGGAGCCATCGCGTCCTGCGCGGCGTGGGTGGGCGGCGTGCGTGGCGCTGCCGTGGCGCTACGTGGTCCCGAAGTGTGCCAGCACGCCGCCCGCCCTCGCCGCCCTCGCCGCCCACGCCCGAACGGCAGCGGGACACTTTGGCCCTTGAGGGTCGAGGGGAGAGGGCGTAAAGGGCCACTCACGCAATCCCCGGCCCCGGGGCGCACCGACTATGACGACGCGGCCACGCGCGAGCCGCCGTGCATCGGGTGGCCTGCCCTCGGGCCTGCCCTTCACGCCCCTCATGCCCCTCACCCGCTGGGACTGTGTGGCCGCCTACCCTCCTTCCTCAGAAAGACTCCGAGTTGCCTGCCAAGGAAAGTCTACTTGAAAAAAAAACTTCCTCGTGCTCTGGATTGTTCACCTCCGTGGGTTGCCTTCCCTCCGTTCTGCGGGTGTTTTTCGTACTCCGGGTTGCCTGCCCTCCGTTCTGCGGGCGTTTTTCGTACTCCGGGTTGCCTACCCTCCGTTCTGCGGGCGTTTTTCGTACTCCGGGTTGCCTACCCTCCGTTCTGCGGGCGTTTTCTTACTTCGAGTTGCCTACCCTCCGTTCTGCAGGCGTTTTCGTTCTCCGGGTTGCCTGCTCTCCGTTCTGCGGGCGCTATCCGTGCAGCGAGCGGTCCGTCCCGAACGGCCGCACTTTCCCTGATGGGCCGGGCAGGCCGGGCAGGCCGGGCAGGGGGTGGGGCGAGGCTCGGGCCGTCCTGCGCTGTGTCCTCCGAGAAAAGTACGAGCGACACCCTGCCAGCCTACCCCGTCCGCCCGGCCGGCCCCCTGCCGCGCTGCCGCGCTCGGGTCTTATTCCCGACACCCGAGCCTATGCCATCGCGCCCCGCCCCGCTCGCCCTGCCCGGCGGTGCCTCGCGGTGCCTGGCGTCCTGGACCATACCAAGTAGTTCATGTAGCGTGAAAGAATCGGGGCAGGCGGCCGGGCCGGGCCGGGCGGTGGGGGTGGAGGAGGCGGGCGCGGCGCCGCGCGGCGGGGCAGGTCTCCCGGAGTTGCGAGACAGGGTTCTTTGTTTCCCTGCCGTCGCCGCCCCTCGCAGCCCTTCGCCTTCACACTTCCCTTTTGGCTGCTGCGCGAACGGAGCCCGCGAGCGCCACGCGAGCGCCGCACTAAAGACTTTCATTTCTCTCTCCCGGGCCGCGGGATGCGCCCTGAGCGGTCTGCCTGGCCGTTCCCGCGGCGGGTCTTTAGCGCTCCCCGCGCGGCCCTCCTCCTGCTTGCGCACGACACACACGGCCAGCGAAAAAGTTACACCGCGGAGGGAAAATTCAATGTCGCATACAGTCGGAAATCCCAAGTCTTGTGTGCGGGCACGCCTTATCACTGTCCGAAAATGTACGGGATGCCTCTGGCTTTGGTTTTCGCGCTGGCCTCCTGCACTGTAACGTGCACCCTGGGGCGCGAGGTAGCGGCGGCCCGGCGGCGCGCCCTTGACGCGCGGAGTAGCGCGCTCGCAGGGGGTATCTCCGCTGCACTGCTGGAGCGGCTTGAGGACGTGGGGTATCGCCGCGCCAACACCACCTCGCACCGCGCTGCGCCGCCAACCAACCGGACACACGTCACGGCAACAAAGTGGCCCTCGCTGTCGACGTGTTTTGCAACATTGAAATGTATAGCCGGTGACTGCTGCCTAAAGTACCCCAAGTCACAATCAATTTCGTTATTTTCCGCATGGCACCTGACTTGGAAAGAAGCTTAAGCCATTCGTCAGAAATTGAAGACACTCGATTGTCCGAGGGAGAGGCGTGTTAGACTTTCTTTTCATTTTCAGAATCGGTTGTTCGTGTGCGTGCCGGCGGCCGTGCCGGTGGCCGTGCCGCCGCCGACCTGTTTGTCGCGTCCCACGTCCCGTCCTGTCCAGCAATCCCTTTCCGTATCCCCGCCATCTGCGAAAAGCGACATGCGACCCGCCATTCAATGTGTCCACGATAACAATTCAAAAAACAACACCACAAAAAGTGGGCCCGGCTTCCACTCCTGAGGCTGCGATCTGATGGCCCTGGGCGTGCCGTGCCGTGCCGTGCCGTGCCGTGCCGTGCCTTGCCGGCCGCGCCGGTCGCCTAGCCGTCTCTATGCCCATGCACATGTGCGCCAGCGCCGCCAGCCAGTTAGTGCGATCCGAACGCGGCGCCGCCATGCCGGGCATGTCAGACGAGCCATGAACTCGGCAGCCAAAACGCGAGGCCTCCTCCTGGGCCGCCTCCTCTGCGCCATCGTGGTTCTGCTCGCAGCGAAGGCGATCACGGCTGCCGTCCTGGTGAGTCGCAGTGGACGGTGGAGGCGGCCAAAATCCCGGACGCGTTTTGAGCTCCAGAGTCGCTAAAAAGGACTCGAACCGCACGTGTGACCCGGTGTGGCCGTGGCCCCACCAATGGATTGCTCTCCGAACAAGGGATCCGTGGGGTCACACGTTTGGTTCACGTCCTGTTTAGCTACTTACTCCGGAGCTCAAAACGCGTCCAGTTTCGGCCGCCTCCGCGTGCACCGGTCTTCTGGCCCAGTGCGGCGGCAGCGGCGAGGTAAGGAACTGCATGCAATGTGTTTGCATGTGCAACGGACTGATGCTTGGGGGTGCGTTCAACGGTCGTGCCTGCTGGGGAGCTGGCTTCCGCCGGCTCCGTGCTCCCTCTCAACCTCGCGGCCCTGCAAGCCACAGTATCTCTGCCGCAGAAATGAAATTTTCTCGTTTTCTCCTGGTGCTGTCCGAAACGGCGGTGCGGCCAGGGACCGTACAACGCCTACGTCGACAGAATTTACGCGTGCGCTCCCGGGGACTCGAACTCCACTGAGGAGATTGTGAACTTCATCGAGGTGTCCAAGTACGACATTCGAAAGCAGCACATCCTGCAGAGGGTGACGGGGAACGTGACCGTGTCCATCAAGGAGGGCATCAACAACGCCATGTGGGTAAGTGCTGCAGCCCGGCACAGAGGCGGCCGAAACTCAAGACGCGTTTTGAGCTCCAGAGTCGCTAAAGTGGTATCGAACCGTTCGTAGAGCAATCGTTGGTGGCGTCACAGTCACACGTTGAGTTCGAGCGACTCTGGAGCTCAAAACGCGTCCTGGATTTTGACCGCCTCGGCCGGCCTTCTGGCCCACTGTGCATCGCGGGTCGAGAGTCGAGGGTGTAGAGGCCGTTGTGTTGATGATGGTGGTCCTTGGTCCGCAGGCCAAAGCGCGCCTGGACTCCCGGGTGCACGCTCACTGGGCCGACAACGCCTTCACCTTCTCCTTCGACAAGGCGTGCGAGCAGGGCCGCACCCACATGCCCGGAGTCTGGAGCACCTTCTTCAAGCTGGACCCCACCGTGAACCCCTGCAGAGTGCCGCCGGTAGGGCGCCGGTAGGGCACCGGCCCCGCAATCAATGATTGGGTCACTTGTTGGCTGCTTGACTGTCCGGGTGACTGACACAAGTGAAAGTACTCACTCGTTTCCGATAGAGAATTGCTATGAACAAAATCCGTGTTCAAGACTTCTGTGACTGTTCCCAAAGTGAATGAAGTGACCGCGCCTCCTCTGGTTGACAGAAGGTCCCGCTGTTGCAGGCGATCTACAGGATGGATAACGAGCCCATCAACTGGACCTTCCCCAAGTTCCCCATCATGCCCCACGGCAGCTGGACGTTCCACCTGACCGTCGGCCAGGGCAAGAACACCGTCCTCTGCAACAACGTGGACATCCGCTCGGTGGCCAAGCAGCGCCCTGGCACCCGCTAGCGCCGCCACGGACCTGGTTTCTCTGCAGCCCGCGAGGCAGCCGCTCATCGCTCGAGGTTTTCTGGTGGTTCCCCTGCGCCCTGCCACGCCCTGCCGCGCCCTCCAGGGCCGATGCCCGCCAATGCAACAAGCACCCGTCCTGTCTTTTTATCCATGTTTTATTGTTTCAACTTTAATTTCGTCTCGTTCTTGGACTCACGTTCAACGACTTGATTTCCTTAAGTGCCCCAACTTACTGGCACCATTAATGCACCGACGCAGACGGCCGTATGCACGCCGCGTAAGTTGCAGTTACGCCCTGGCCTCGCCCTGGCCTCGCCCCTGCCTCGCCCCGGCCTCGCCTCAGCCTCATCCAGACCTCGCCCAAGCTTCGCCCAGTCTTCGCCTCGCCAGGCCTCGCCCAGTGCGACGGACTGCGGTCCTGGACTGCGGTTCTGCAGTCTGCTGTTCGCATCCTTTTTACGGCTCTATCAGGAAACGGGTCCCGCGGGATGGCCGGGCTGGGCCGGGCAGCCGGCTGGCCGGGCGGGATGCGTCGCACCCTGCGGCCTGCGGCATGGCCTGCGGGAGCGACGGAGAAAGAGAGAAAAAGAGAGAGAAAGAGAGAGGCGGCCGTCGGAGCGAGACTGCAGAGGGACGCGTGCGGAGCGGCGGCGTGCGGCGGACGCAACCCTTGGCGGCGTCGTGGTTAGCAACGTTAGCAGGTGGCCGACGGCGGCGGCGACACACACTGTCCGTCATCCCTCTTTGTCTTTCTGCGGCCACGCCCGTTCGGCCGCACTGCAAGCAAAGTCTGACTGCACTGCACGAGCACTGAATGCATCCGCGATTCACCCGCCCTGTCACTGTCGTGGTTTTGGCCTTGTATGCAAGGCGTTTTGGCCTCGCCAGGCGGATCAGCCTTGTGAAGAAAGGCGTTTTGGCCTTATATACGCGCATGGCGGCCTTCCGTGTCCCAATGCCCGCCGCGTTCCGCCAGCGTGTCGACAAAGCTGTCGATAGCCCGGAAGGGTGGCGGCGGGGCGGGGCGGGGCGGGGCGGGGGGGGCGGGGTGGGGCTGGGGTGGGGCGGGGCGGGGCGGGGTGGGGCTGCAAGTTCGCACGCCAGCACCACATGCCAAGCACCCCTTTGCACCGCGCTCGCGGCCTGGCGTGGCAAACTGCAGTATTTCCCTCGGCGGTGCAGGCCAAGCCGAGCCAAGCCTGCCCAGTGCATGTGCCCAATTTCAGTCCTTCAGCCTCAGTCCTTCTGCAGCCCCCCTTCACCCCGGGTGGCTGATTCCGAGGATCCTTGAAGGGAGGTTTTCGTCCACTATAGTGGCAGGCCTCGACCAATCAGAAGCCCGAAATCTGCCATCGCCTATCTTCGGACTGAGACAGCAGAAGCCGCGCGCCCCTCAGCCACCACTGGCACCGCACTACGGCGTGGCCTCCGCGCCTCCGCTCGGGTGGCGGCGTGGCGAGGACTGCGAGAACCTCGTGGCCGAGGTGCTCGTCTTCGACAATTGGGAGAAAGTGCGACAGCGAGCTGCCGTGCCTGCCGTGCCTGCTTTGACTGTCTTGTCTGCCTTGCCTGCTTTGTCGCAGTGCCACGCTAAATTGCACTCTTTTCGCCGCCTTGGCTGTCGGTTTGCGCCTCTGGCTCTCGCTGCGACTGCGCTGTACAGTGAGCCAGAAGTCCGGAGGAGGCGGCCAAAATTCTAGACGCGTTTTGAGCTCCAGAGTTGCTTAATGGGCCTCGAACCGGACGTGTGACCCCACCAATGGATGGCTCTCCGAACGAGGAATCCATTGGTGGGGTCACACGTTCGGTTCTGGTTAGCGACTCTGGAGCTCAAAAACGCGTCGAGAGTTTTGTCCACCCACACCAGTCTTCTGGCTCAATGTGTGCTGGCGTGCCCGGCGGCTCATGGTGACACGTCAATGCCAAGCGATACTCGCGCGATAAATATGCCTGCCGAATAAGCGATTAAACGAGGCAGCCGCCAAAAGCTGTCGCAGTAAAAATGGCGGCTTGATTGGCTGGCGGAGTGGATCGACGTGCACGCTCATTTCCCATTTTTTCCACGCCATTACCGATGATACGTGGTGGGCCGGGCCGTGGGCCGGGGGCCTTCATCAGCACCGCGTTTAGGTTAGGCTCTTCGAGGGCCGGCCCTTGCGGGGCCCTAGCGGGGCCTCGGCAGGGCCTTAGGGCCGCTCTGTCTCCCTCGTTGATGATTACAGCCTGAAGACTGATTCCGAGAGTCGTTCTCGTCGCTCCGTCTCTCTCGGACACTTTCACGGGTCGCCCCATGAGTGCGAGAGAGGCAGAGCGGCGAAAACGACTCTCGGAATCAGTGTGCAGCGGAAGGAAAGGCCCTGCCTCGCCCTGCCTTCAGCATACGGGATGCATCCTCGAGCTGCATTCCAGGTGCACTGTGCTAGAGGGGCGCCATAAAAAAAAGGCAGCAAGTGTCTTCCGAATCTCTGCGCAGTAATAATGATTGGGAATTAAAAACAAAATCATTTCGTTGCTATTCACTCTGAAAACCTCACAAACTATTTCAGTCTTTACAAACGAAAGTAGCTTGTTACAACAACGTGTTTCTAGCACACATAGGCTCTCAAAGAAAACACTTCGTTATTGCGAATCGATTATTCGTGCAGCAAACTAATTAGTTTGTACTGTACATATGCTCAAAACACTTCGTAAGGTTCCAAGCACGTTATTTGTTTTCATCTTTCGGGTTCGCCCACCTCGTGAAATTTGGGGGGCCGCGCTGGCCGCGCTGGCCGCGCTGGTCGTGCTTCGGGCGGGAGCCTCTTTCCTGCCTTGCGATGCACCATGCATGCACCATGCATGCACCATGCACGATGCGCGCGGGCCGCGGCGTGCCTGGATGAGGCCCTCTGATTTATGGTGGGCCGAGCTGCGGGGCCGCGAGCGCGAGACGCCGGGAAAATATTTTGGGCCGTGTGTTTGACCGGGGCTAATACGAGTAACGGGGTGAGCGGGATGCGGCCGTGAGTGTGCGTGTGTGTGTGCGTCTGTCTGTCTGTCTCTCTCCCTCTCACACACACACTCACACACTAGCCTTCATGCTTGCTGCAACACACCGGGGGGGCAAACATTTCCTCCATACTGTCGCCCGTATGGTCCGGGCGCGAGTGTGGACACGCTGGCGGCCGACAACCGCAGACATCATCCAGACACTTCTCGCTCACGCACACACACACACACACGCTACGCAATATTTCATTTACGCGCCTTAGCCGCGGCGTAGTGGAGTCGCGGCGTCGCGGCGTGTGACTTGTTGAAATCGCCCATTGAAGCGCGAGGCCACGCCGGAGGGCCGGCCGCAGTGATGGCCATTGTCATCCGGATTATTGCTTTCCACCTGCGCGCGCGCGCGTGTTTGTGTGTGTGTGTGTGTGTGTGTGTGTGTGTGTGTGTTTGTAAGTGTTTGCGGGCCTCTACGGCGTTGCGCACCTGTTCGCGGCCTTTCAAGCCTCGCGAGGCAGGGAGGGTGGTGTACCCTTTCCGTAAATTCTGGATCGATCGAAATCGGTCTGGATCGTTTAGACTTGATGTCACCGACCTCGGGGACGACCTTTTGACCGGGGGCGTGGCGGTGGCGTGGTGTGGCGTGGCGTGGCGTGGCGTGCCTCGCCGTGACGTGCCCTGCAGTGGCGAGGGCGGAGTGCACATGCAACGCAAGCGGGGGCCAATTAAGTGCGATGGTCGCCTTCCATTTTTACAGCGCTCAGCCTTCCGTCCGCGGCTCGTCCGGCCGGCTACTGTTGGCCCAATAAAACATTATTAATTGCCCTGCAATGCCACAGCTCGCCACAGTGACGCCACCGCAGTGATGGAGAGAGAGAGAGAGAGAGAGAGAGAGAGAGAGAGAGAGAGAGAGAGAGATGCTCTTCTTCCATTTTTCACTTAGCAAAGCATCAGTCGGAGAGGAGGTCTATTTTTACCTCGCTTCTCCGTACTGGATGCTCGCACGCACACACACGCACGCGTGCACACACACTGACGGGACGCATTCCTCGTCTGGAAGGGGTCTCGCGCCGGTCAGCCTGGAATTTTTCCCTCCCACTTGTATTTTGTTTCTCTTGGTTTTTTTTTTTTTGCTCGCGTTTTCCCGGGAAATTGGCGCCCCGCGAGCTGTCTGTGGAAATGGCAACCAGAAAGGCCTGGCTGCAGACTGCAGGCTGCGGGCGTGTCGTTGCCGAAGTAGGAAGCCGAGGAAGGCACCACGCTGGTCGCGCTCGTGCAGCGCTCTCTCTCTCTCTCTCTCTCTCTCTCTCTCTCTCTCTCTCTCTCTCTCTCTCTCTCTCTCTCTCTCTCCCTCTCCCCCTCTCTCTCTCTCTCTCTGTTTTCGTCATGCCGAAGGCTGGCTGCGATGCACTGCGACGGGCTGCCGCGCGGGGCCTCCGGCCCGGAGCCTCCGGGAGTCGAGGGCCGCGCTCGGCCGAGCCGCTAAGGCCTGGTTACTCTAGGTCAACGCTGCGTCACTCTGGGTCACTCTAGGTCGCGCTACGTCACTCTAGGCCACTCACTGGGTCACTCTAGGTTCTCCAGTGGCGGCCCGGCCATTGGGTTTGTTTTCCAGCCAGCCACCGTTCGCCTTGTGTCGGCGGCCTAGAAAGCTCCGGGCGGCAGAAGGAGGCCTCCCCGATGAAGTCACGGAGTGATGTCAGCATGACGTCACCGGGACGTCACCGTGCCGGGGACCGCGTTGCGCGCAGTGTGTGTGCAGGCCGCCAAGGACGCCGTCTTCGTGGACGCCGCCGTGGACGCCGTGGTTCTCAAACCAGGAATACGCACTTCCCTTCCAGCGTGACGGCGGCGGGCGATTCCGGCGGCTCGTCCGCTCGTGCCCGCGGCCAGCTCGAAGCAGAAGGACGTCGACGAAGTAGAGGAGGACAGCCATTGTGGCCATTCGGGCGCCGAAACGCGAGGCGAGGCTGTCAGCAGGCCGGCGGCCCCGCGAGTCATCGCGCTATCCCTCGATGGCCTGGTGTGCCTGGTGCTGGTCCGGGGCGTCCGGGGCCGCCGCTGGCTTGGGCGCTGGCTCCCTGCAGACTTCGCCGGCACGACGCGGGAGACTCCGGCATCACACCGGGACAATGGGCGAGACATGACAGGCTCACAGTCATGGAGGGCCCGCTTAGCCTAGGCTCGGCCTAGGCCCATAGGCAGGCCCAGAG